CGCCTCTGAGGCTTTGCTCTGGCAAAGCCTCAGAAGCGCGGGAACCCGCCCGGTGCCCCTGGTCTGCTGGAGACGGTCTCCAGCAGACCAGGGGCACCGGAGCAGCTTATGAACGGGGCTTTTTCGCTCCGACTTCCGGGGCGAGAAAGCCCCGTTTGTAAGTGCGGATCCGACGTAAGTCGGATCCGCGTAAGTCGGGGACTGCCTGTACAGCTTTCGTCCTCAATTGTGGCTTTTTGGTCACCCAATGAAGAGTTCTTGAACAATTCCCAATTACCCCATTATCATTTTTCTGATTAAATTCTTCCTCCCAGCTGATTTGTAATTGTTGTAGGCTTTATGAAACTGGTCTTTTTAATGCACCAAGTGTACATGTTACTAGTCTGCAGTACTCTATTACACTGTAGACTAATAAAGACAGCCAGTATTTAAACTTCAAACCTTGAGTAAAATTCCTCACATGATGCTTTATTGAGAGGCCAAACAAACAAATACTTAGGCCTTATCTACCATGTCTACACACAAGCTTGCAGCAGTTTAGTTAAACTGGTTTAGTAAAACAGAGCAAACTCCTGTTTGGGCATTCTTGTTTTGGTTTAAGCGTTGCCCACCCTGCCACCCCAGCGGCCTCTGCCTGCCCTATACCTGGCTTCTGCTTTCCCACCTCAGGGATGATTAAATGCTGGCAAGCCCAATAAACAGTATTATTCTAGAACTACATCAAGTTCAGCCTCAGATTACGTCTCTCCAGAAAGGAGAAAGATTATATCGTTTGTGTGGCTGCCGGTTTTGTGAAGTACTGGCTAAAAGTCAGGAGTTGTTATGACAGATGTAATGTTGCATTAGCTGCTGTGTGGCAGGTCAGATGATGGTATTAGAGGGGCAGAAGAGGAGAAATCAAATTTCTTCACTGTAAAGCTCCAATAATGAAAAGCAGCAGCCACTATTCCACTGGAGGATTATCGCAAGGGAGTTCCCTCATCATACAGAAACCCGGATTAGAAGCTAAAAATGCCACTACCCACAGCTCCTTCCTTCAGACGCAACTAATCACTATGGTGGTTTCTTACCCAGATGCTGTCTGTTAAGTAACAGGCTGACAGAAAGAGAAAGGGACCAGTGCAGGGTGTTTCCCCACAACCCCATCTCACCCACATAGGGAACGTTCATCCCTGCAGCGTGCTCAGTGACCTACCCCTGCCTTTGATACTCAAATACCCTCATCATCTCCAAAGCCCTAGAACTTCTCCCTCCTTACCAGGCATAACAATACACAGGCAACAGCAGGGCTGGGGGCGGGGAGGAAGGTGTAGAAATACAAGCAGGGGAAGGACCTAAAGGCAAGGTTTTCTCCCCCCCGCCCCCTCTCCCAGCAGCAACACAGCAGAGAGGAGGAAGCGTTTTCGAGGTGGAAGGCCCGGGAGAAGGATTTTCCTGAGAAGCCTGTTCACAGAGACCATGGGCACCCTTGTGTTACAGAGCAATACTTGCAGGGCGGCAGGGATACCGCTGGTTACCAGGGTGCACACAGGCACAGGGTGCAAACAGAGATGCGCGCACACACACACACACACACCCCGAAACCCGCACAAAACAGACACACACGCACGCTTGCACAAAACACAGACACACGCACAAAACACAAACACGCAGATGCACAGACACACACGCACGCATGCACAAAACACAGACATGCACACAGACACACGCATGCATGCACGAAACAGATGCACACAGACACAACACACAGATGCACACAGACACAACACACAGATGCACACAGACACAACACACAGATGCACACAGACACAACACACAGATGCACACAGACACAACACACAGATGCACACAGACACAACACACAGATGCACACAGACACAACACACAGATGCACACAGACACAACACACAGATGCACACAGACACAACACACAGATGCACACAGACACAACACACAGATGCACACAGACACAACACACAGATGCACACAGACACAACACACAGATGCACACAGACACAACACACAGATGCACACAGACACAACACACAGATGCACACAGACACAACACACAGATGCACACAGACACAACACACAGATGCACACAGACACAACACACAGATGCACACAGACACAACACACAGATGCACACAGACACAACACACAGATGCACACAGACACAACACACAGATGCACACAGACACAACACACAGATGCACACAGACACAACACACAGATGCACACAGACACAACACACAGATGCACACAGACACAACACACAGATGCACACAGACACAACACACAGATGCACACAGACACAACACACAGATGCACACAGACACAACACACAGATGCACACAGACACAACACACAGATGCACACAGACACAACACACAGATGCACACAGACACAACACACAGATGCACACAGACACAACACACAGATGCACACAGACACAACACACAGATGCACACAGACACAACACACAGATGCACACAGACACAACACACAGATGCACACAGACACAACACACAGATGCACACAGACACACGCATGCATGCACAAAACAGATGCACAGACACACACACACTTGCACAAAACACAGATACGCACGCACAAAACACAGCCACACACACACATGCACAAAACACAGATGCACAAAGAGACACGCACGCACAAAACACAGACTCACCCGAAGAGGCCCCTGAGGAAGGAGTGCGAGGACCTGACCCCAGATGCACACAGACACACGCATGCATGCACAAAACAGATGCACAGACACACACACACTTGCACAAAACACAGATACGCACGCACAAAACACAGCCACACACACACATGCACAAAACACAGATGCACAAAGAGACACGCACGCACAAAACACAGACTCACCCGAAGAGGCCCCTGAGGAAGGAGTGCGAGGACCTGACCCGCTTCTCGCAGCGAGCTATTCCAATTGTGCAAGGGCCCCCCCCCTCCTCCGCGTGGGAGACGGTGTCCCTGTGTTGACACTGAGCGTGCACGCGCAACAATGCGTGTGTGGTTGTGTGTGTGTGTGTGTGTGTGTGTGTGTGTGTGTGTGAGAGAGTGGGATTGTGTGTCTAAGGGTGCGAGCGCATAGTGCCCTTGTATCATCGTGTCAGTGGGTCATTGTGTGACGGTGTCCACGGATGTGTAATCATGTCAGGGTGTGGTACTGTGTGTGTGCACGCATGGTGCTGTCCCTGTGGGATGGTGGTTGGGTGTGAAGGTTTCCGATTGGGCCGGTGTCAGTGGATGAGGATGACTCTGTGTTGCATGCAGAATGGTGGCCGTGTGGGATGACGAGTGAGGTGTATATATGTGATGGTGTCTCCGTGTGTGCATGCAGAATGGTGGCCGTGTGGGATGACTAGTGAGGTGTATGTATCTGATGGTGTCTCTGTGTGTGCATGCAGAATGGTGTCCGTGTGGGATGACTAGTGAGGTGTATGTATCTGATGGTGTCTCTGTGTGTGCATGCAGAATGGTGTCCGTGTGGGATGACTAGTGAGGTGTATGTATCTGATGGTGTCTCTGTGTGTGCATGCAGAATGGTGTCCGTGTGGGATGACTAGTGAGGTGTATGTATCTGATGGTGTCTCTGTGTGTGCATGCAGAATGGTGTCCGTGTGGGATGACTAGTGAGGTGTATGTATCTGATGGTGTCTCTGTGTGTGCATGCAGAATGGTGTCCGTGTGGGATGACTAGTGAGGTGTATGTATCTGATGGTGTCTCTGTGTGTGCATGCAGAATGGTGTCCGTGTGGGATGACTAGTGAGGTGTATGTATCTGATGGTGTCTCTGTGTGTGCATGCAGAATGGTGTCCGTGTGGGATGACTAGTGAGGTGTATGTATCTGATGGTGTCTCTGTGTGTGCATGCAGAATGGTGTCCGTGTGGGATGACTAGTGAGGTGTATGTATCTGATGGTGTCTCTGTGTGTGCATGCAGAATGGTGTCCGTGTGGGATGACTAGTGAGGTGTATGTATCTGATGGTGTCTCTGTGTGTGCATGCAGAATGGTGTCCGTGTGGGATGACTAGTGAGGTGTATGTATCTGATGGTGTCTCTGTGTGTGCATGCAGAATGGTGTCCGTGTGGGATGACTAGTGAGGTGTATGTATCTGATGGTGTCTCTGTGTGTGCATGCAGAATGGTGTCCGTGTGGGATGACTAGTGAGGTGTATGTATCTGATGGTGTCTCTGTGTGTGCATGCAGAATGGTGTCCGTGTGGGATGACTAGTGAGGTGTATGTATCTGATGGTGTCTCTGTGTGTGCATGCAGAATGGTGTCCGTGTGGGATGACTAGTGAGGTGTATGTATCTGATGGTGTCTCTGTGTGTGCATGCAGAATGGTGTCCGTGTGGGATGACTAGTGAGGTGTATGTATCTGATGGTGTCTCTGTGTGTGCATGCAGAATGGTGTCCGTGTGGGATGACTAGTGAGGTGTATGTATCTGATGGTGTCTCTGTGTGTGCATGCAGAATGGTGTCCGTGTGGGATGACTAGTGAGGTGTATGTATCTGATGGTGTCTCTGTGTGTGCATGCAGAATGGTGTCCGTGTGGGATGACTAGTGAGGTGTATGTATCTGATGGTGTCTCTGTGTGTGCATGCAGAATGGTGTCCGTGTGGGATGACTAGTGAGGTGTATGTATCTGATGGTGTCTCTGTGTGTGCATGCAGAATGGTGTCCGTGTGGGATGACTAGTGAGGTGTATGTATCTGATGGTGTCTCTGTGTGTGCATGCAGAATGGTGTCCGTGTGGGATGACTAGTGAGGTGTATGTATCTGATGGTGTCTCTGTGTGTGCATGCAGAATGGTGTCCGTGTGGGATGACTAGTGAGGTGTATGTATCTGATGGTGTCTCTGTGTGTGCATGCAGAATGGTGTCCGTGTGGGATGACTAGTGAGGTGTATGTATCTGATGGTGTCTCTGTGTGTGCATGCAGAATGGTGTCCGTGTGGGATGACTAGTGAGGTGTATGTATCTGATGGTGTCTCTGTGTGTGCATGCAGAATGGTGTCCGTGTGGGATGACTAGTGAGGTGTATGTATCTGATGGTGTCTCTGTGTGTGCATGCAGAATGGTGTCCGTGTGGGATGACTAGTGAGGTGTATGTATCTGATGGTGTCTCTGTGTGTGCATGCAGAATGGTGTCCGTGTGGGATGACTAGTGAGGTGTATGTATCTGATGGTGTCTCTGTGTGTGCATGCAGAATGGTGTCCGTGTGGGATGACTAGTGAGGTGTATGTATCTGATGGTGTCTCTGTGTGTGCATGCAGAATGGTGTCCGTGTGGGATGACTAGTGAGGTGTATGTATCTGATGGTGTCTCTGTGTGTGCATGCAGAATGGTGTCCGTGTGGGATGACTAGTGAGGTGTATGTATCTGATGGTGTCTCTGTGTGTGCATGCAGAATGGTGTCCGTGTGGGCAGCGAGCTATTCCAATTGTGCAAGGGCCCCCCCCCTCCTCCGCGTGGGAGACGGTGTCCCTGTGTTGACACTGAGCGTGCACGCGCAACAATGCGTGTGTGGTTGTGTGTGTGTGTGTGGGTGTGGGTGCGTGTGACATTCCTGCGCCCCGGGCAGCGAGCTATTCCAATTGTGCAAGGGCCCCCCCCCTCCTCCGCGTGGGAGACGGTGTCCCTGTGTTGACACTGAGCGTGCACGCGCAACAATGCGTGTGTGGTTGTGTGTGTGTGTGTGTGTGTGTGTGTGTGTGTGAGCTATTCCAATTGTGCAAGGGCCCCCCCCCTCCTCCGCGTGGGAGACGGTGTCCCTGTGTTGACACTGAGCGTGCACGCGCAACAATGCGTGTGTGGTTGTGTGTGTGTGTGTGTGTGTGTGTGTGTGTGTGTGTGAGAGAGTGGGATTGTGTGTCTAAGGGTGCGAGCGCATAGTGCCCTTGTATCATCGTGTCAGTGGGTCATTGTGTGACGGTGTCCACGGATGTGTAATCATGTCAGGGTGTGGTACTGTGTGTGTGCACGCATGGTGCTGTCCCTGTGGGATGGTGGTTGGGTGTGAAGGTTTCCGATTGGGCCGGTGTCAGTGGATGAGCATGACTCTGTGTTGCATGCAGAATGGTGGCCGTGTGGGATGACGAGTGAGGTGTATATATGTGATGGTGTCTCCGTGTGTGCATGCAGAATGGTGGCCGTGTGGGATGACTAGTGAGGTGTATGTATCTGATGGTGTCTCTGTGTGTGCATGCAGAATGGTGTCCGTGTGGGATGACGAGTGAGGTGTATATGTGATGGTGTCTCTGTGTGTGCATGCAGAATGGTGTCCGTGTGGGATGACGAGTGAGGTGTATATGTGATGGTGTCTCTGTGTGTGCATGCAGAATGGTGTCCGTGTGGGATGACGAGTGAGGTGTATATGTGATGGTGTCTCTGTGTGTGCATGCAGAATGGTGTCCGTGTGGGATGACGAGTGAGGTGTATATGTGATGGTGTCTCTGTGTGTGCATGCAGAATGGTGTCCGTGTGGGATGACGAGTGAGGTGTATATGTGATGGTGTCTCTGTGTGTGCATGCAGAATGGTGTCCGTGTGGGATGACGAGTGAGGTGTATATGTGATGGTGTCTCTGTGTGTGCATGCAGAATGGTGTCCGTGTGGGATGACGAGTGAGGTGTATATGTGATGGTGTCTCTGTGTGTGCATGCAGAATGGTGTCCGTGTGGGATGACGAGTGAGGTGTATATGTGATGGTGTCTCTGTGTGTGCATGCAGAATGGTGTCCGTGTGGGATGACGAGTGAGGTGTATATGTGATGGTGTCTCTGTGTGTGCATGCAGAATGGTGTCCGTGTGGGATGACGAGTGAGGTGTATATGTGATGGTGTCTCTGTGTGTGCATGCAGAATGGTGTCCGTGTGGGATGACGAGTGAGGTGTATATGTGATGGTGTCTCTGTGTGTGCATGCAGAATGGTGTCCGTGTGGGATGACGAGTGAGGTGTATATGTGATGGTGTCTCTGTGTGTGCATGCAGAATGGTGTCCGTGTGGGATGACGAGTGAGGTGTATATGTGATGGTGTCTCTGTGTGTGCATGCAGAATGGTGTCCGTGTGGGATGACGAGTGAGGTGTATATGTGATGGTGTCTCTGTGTGTGCATGCAGAATGGTGTCCGTGTGGGATGACGAGTGAGGTGTATATGTGATGGTGTCTCTGTGTGTGCATGCAGAATGGTGTCCGTGTGGGATGACGAGTGAGGTGTATATGTGATGGTGTCTCTGTGTGTGCATGCAGAATGGTGTCCGTGTGGGATGACTAGTGAGGTGTATATATCTGATGGTGTCTGTGTGTGCATGCAGAATGGTGGCAGTATGTGATGGTGTCAGTGAGCGTGTGTGAGATTATGATTTTGTATGATTTTGTCAGTGCCTGGGTACAAGCCTTAGAGAGGTAGCTGTGTTAGTCTGTATCTGCAAAAACAATGTGGAGTCCTGTGGCATCTTAAAGACTAACAGATATATTTGGGCATAAGCTTTTTCAGATGCTTCAGAGGGGTAGCTGAGTTAGTCAAATGTCACCCATGAAACCTTATGCCCAAATCCGTTAGTCTTTAAGGTGCCACAGGATTCCACATTGTTTATCAATGTGAAACAGTATTGAAACAAAGCTTTTCTGTGTTTGAGAATCAAATTTTTTTCTGGAATTTCGATTATGTAGAAAATGTTGACATTTTGAACAAAAACAAATGTCAAATGGTAGAATTTCCCGGAAGAGAGAAATTCAATTTTCCAACTAGATCTACTTTCAACCTTTCCCCCTAGAATTCCCTGTAATCCTGCCAAGACATGCAATTAACACATAGTAAAGTTATAAAGATATTAATACACGTATATATGGAAGAACATGATTCTCAAATATCTTCACATGTGAAACTGGCAATTTGGCATTTGGAAGAGAGCTTTCGCTTGGCTACTTTCTACAATATATGATAATGCTAAATGCAACAGAACAAACCCCTCTAATGAATGAAATCATTCTGAAAGATGTAACTCGGATGAAAGTTACATAGCAATAGAAGCATGGGACTTAACTCTCAAGGGCATATCTGCACTGAAATGAGACACCTGTATTTGGCCTGTGTCAGCTGACTTGGGCTCTAGTTAGGGGCTATTTAACTGCAGTGTAGCATTTTGGGTTGTAGCCTGAGCTCCCACCCAACTCTCAAGATCCTTGAGTCTCAGATCCAGTCTGACCCCAACCATCTACACCACAATTAAACAGTACGACCCCTGAGAAGCCAAGTCAGCTAGCATGAGCTAGCCACCAGTTATTAACAGCAGCATAAATATACCCCATGTGAAAGTAGAAAGAATTATACTGTAAGAGAAAGATGAATTGTGCTGTAATAATTGAATAAGTTGAAGGAATTCTGTTTGTCTTTTAAGAGATCAACGTGCTACCCAGGTGGGCCTGAGTTAACAGGAAAAGGAACATTAGGTGTTAGGCAGAAAGCAAATTGAGATAACCAAGTAGATATGGACAGGAGATTGCTGTGTGCTTGATGTGGAAATGAAGATACTTGACTAAGTCTCACACTAATCATGTGAAGTTTTGCCCCTCCTTTTAATCCTGTTAACTTGACTTTTTTTTGACTGTATAAATCAAGGGGTTTGAACCTTGCATGGTGCTCACATTTTCTGGATGCATTTTAGCAGAGCTTTGCTAAAATAAAAAGAGCGGTCTGACAAATCTGTGAGTCCTGTCTGACTTTGACACCCGGATGTACGATGATGAGTAAAATATCATGCACAAGCATAAGGGGGCAATCTTCACAATATCTTCTATAGTACTGGAGGTTTATTATTTTGCTCAACGTACAATGTACCAGTAGATTATAGCCGTAAGGCAAGCATTCATAAACATTTGGAGGCAGCTTCCCACAAATGTAAAGCAGAGGCCTTGAATTCTGAAATGGGAAGCGAATGAAAAGCACAGAGCAAAATTCTGTCGGAAAAGTTTGAAGTGACAGCAGATTGAGTATCTTCAGAGGTAGGTAGAGGTTTTTCAGTTTACTGAGGCTTTCTGTGCAGCAAACCTTGCATAAAAAACAACAAACAAAAAACCTTGACAACATGACCCTGACGGAGTACTTAGAATGTAACCTGAAAAATGTTGGAATCACACCAAGATTGAGATATCTACAGCAATTTTACTTGTGAAGAATATTTGAAAATCATGTAAACTAAAAGAAAAGCTGAAGATTTGTGATGGATGGAACATATCAGCTCCACTGGCTCATTCGGTTAGGCATAGGCTACCAACCTGATTTTCCCATGCTACTGTGCAAGTGCAGTTATGCTTAGAGACCTCTAGGGTGATACAATTTGCTGGGATCTGCAGTGACCAGCACTGTCCTCCCATTACTGTGTGCCTCAGCATGGGACTTTTCCTAAATCATAGACTCTCAGAACACTAGAACTGGACAGGACCTCAAAGGGTCATCAAGTCCAGTCCCCTGCCCTCACGGCAGGACCAAGCACCATTTGGATCATTCCTGACAGGTGTGTGTCGAACCTGCTCTTAAATATCTTCAGTGGTGGAGATTCCACAACCCCCCTAAGCAATTTATTCCAGTGCTTCACCACCCTGACAGAAAGTTTTTCCTAATGTCCAACCTAAGCCTCCCTTGCTGCAGTTTAAGCCCCTTGCTTCTTGTTCTATCCTCAGAGGCCAAGGAGAACAATTTTTCTCCCTTCTCCTTGTAACACCCTTCAAATACTTGAAAATTGCTATCATGTCCCCTCTCAGTCTTCTCTTTTCCAAACAAACCCAATTCTTTCAGTCTTCTCTCATGGATTGGGGAGAGATTCCAAGTACAAGGGTTACAAGCTGTTGCTAGACAGTGCACATCTTCACTCTCCCTGTTTCCTTCCTAAAGGGAGCCCTCCCTGCTCCAAGAGTCAGCTCCAGACTGCCTCACACTGGCACTGTTGCAGCTCACTGCAAAACACGACTGCACCCTGATTGGTCCATGATGTTTGATACAAACTCCTGTGATAAATCTGCCATCGTTATTACGATGGCATTTATGAAAGCCCATCCTGGGAATAACCCTACTTCCACTAAAGTCACTTGTAAACTTCCCAGTTATTTCAGTAAGTCCTGGATCAGATTTCAATACGTAACAATGCACAATTTACTCTATGCTCTATTGCTGGAAAATTAGTACAAATACAATGAGAAAGTCAGACATTTAGATTCAGAGACCAGATGCCATACCCATAGAATGGGGGCCCGTATCCGGGAAGGAAGTGACTCTGAAAAGGATTTAGGGGTTATAGTCAGACACTGTAGACAAATAGGGATCTTTAATCCTCAATTTCCAGGAGCAGGAAATTAGCAATCTGGTTTTTCTCCCCAAGAGATAGCTTCAAAAGGATGAATCCAAAGTGAGTCATTTGCATTCTTCTCCTCCGCTCCCCCCAGGTATTTCTAGAAAATAGACTGGGCCAAATTTTGGAAAAAAAAAACCTCTTTCAAAAGCCCACTTCTTCCTCATGGAACAAGGAATACAGGGGCTTCTGAAAGAGCATGTTTGCTCTTCCGCAAAAAAAAAAAAAAAAAAAAAAGCAGAAGAGCAAACACGTTCCCTGGACGTGGCAGAGTTTTCAGGATATCCCAAAAAAACCCACAGTCCAGCCATACCCATAGACAAAAGTTCACACAGAGTACTGCAGGACAGGGGATATGTTTGCCACAGATTGTCATTAATCATAATTTTTGCCTCCAACTGGCATTCCCCCAATCTTTTTGCATTTCCCCAGTTTGTCAACATTGGTTAAAAATGACTATGGATGATTCAGAGATTTCCTTAGCTAGCTCCTTTAAGAGCCCTGAGAGGCAGTGATGTGGGCCTGCCGATTCGGAAATATTTAATTTTAGCACGCGTCTCCTGTCGTCCTTAAAACAACCAGTGGCTGGAATTTAAAGCCCAGCACAAATCAAATTAGATATAAGGCACACCAGTAGGGTTACCATATTTGAACTTTCAAAAAAGAGGATACCCTTGAGAAGGAGTGTATCTGTATCCGTATCTACCAACTCACATTGTAGTAATGTGTTATATAGTATGTATGTATTTATTATATAACACATTACTACATCATGAGTTGGTAGATATGGATACAGATACACTCCCTCTCCAGGGTGTCCTCTTTTTTGAAAGTTCAAATATGGTAACCCTAAAGGGAGGACAGACAACCATTGAAATGAACAACCAATGGGATGAGTAGATTTTCCATGTCTTGAAGTCCTCATATGAAGACAAGATGACTTTGAGGAACAGAGATCTTCCTGAAACACGATTGAGTTCTGTGCTGTAATCACTGAGGGTATGTCTACATTGCCACCCTAGTTCGAACTAGGGTGGCTAATGTAGGCATTCGAAGTTGCAAATGAAGCCCGGGATTTAAATATCCCAGGCTTCATTTGCATCTTCCCAGGCGCCACCATTTTTAAATCCCCCTTAGTCCGAACTCCGTGCCCGGGGCTACACGCGGCACGGAATAGGTAGTTCGAATTAGGATCTCTAATTCGAACTACTGTTACTCCTCGTGGAACGAGGAACGAGGTGTACCGGTAGTTCGAATTAGAGATCCTAATTCAAACTACCTACTCTGTGCCGCGTGTAGCTGCGGGCACAGTGCAGATCAAATAATGACTACAGAGTCCTATCATTTTAGGCCAGAAGGGTCTGTTAGATCAGCATAATTTCATTTTCTGTATTGGGCTTAGAAATTCACTCAGGGTATGTCTACACTGCCACCTTAGTTCGAACTAGGGTGGCTAATGTAGGCATTCGAAGTTGCAAATGAAGCCCGGGATATTTAAATATCCCGGGCTTCATTTGCAACTTCGAATGCCTACATTAGCCACCCTAGTTCGAACTAAGGTGGCAGTGTAGACATACCCTGAGTGAATTTCTAAGCCCAATACAGAAAATGAAATTATGCTGATCTAACAGACCCTTCTGGCCTAAAATGATAGGACTCTGTAGTCATTATTTGATCTGCAAAAGACAACAGGGAGTGGGTGGCAACTTGGGAACCAGGGCTAGCAAGTTCGTATGGACAGGAGGCCAGGGGTGTTATGAAGGAAAGGTGTGTCTTTGAGAGAACTTTTGTGTTCATGGGAAAGACCTTCTGTTCTCTGGGCCACATGCATTATGGCGATTCAAGGGGTGCCGCATCAGACTGCAGCTGTAGCTATGATGCCAGAGGGCCTCAAACACTCCATCCCCTGAAATGAAGTCCGCCTGTGATGAACTGATGACAGCACAGAGGTTGCTGTGGGGACAGAGCTCACAATGGCCAACATATTCCATGCTCATCAAGATGAGCACTGACTGCTCCAGCTGGCCTTGGATGAGCACAGTTACTCCTCCTTGCCCCTTGGTCTTTTGAATCCTGACAATCTCTATTCTCCACTTGGAAAAGGGAGATCAGGAAGCCCTGTGGAGATCCATTCACAAGGTGCTCGGCCCACAATAAGGTAGGGTAAGATGTTTCTCTACAGCGTATTAGACAAGACTTTGTTTAACTTTAAAAATGAGTAGTCCTCAGAGACCAACAAAACTATAGAGGATCATGGGCTTTCATGGGTAAGGACCACTTCATCAGATGAGTTGGAGCGGAAATAACAGAATCCAAGAGATAGACAGAACCAAAAGAACTACTTGTCAATTGTAGGACCCGTGTTAATTATGCTAATTAAGTAAGCTGGATGTCTCCCATTCATACCTTTTGGTGTGAAAATAGGGATGTTAAAGGAAGAAGAAACTGGCTTTCTAGTGTGCTAACCAGTTTATGTCTTTAGTCAAGCCCAGGGTAACGGTATCAAATGTGTATGAATTCCACTTCTGCTCTCTCTCTATAATTGGGTGGTGACATTCCTTTGTAGAAGAATGGCTACTTTTAAATTCATGATTGAGTGCCCAGGTATGTTAAAATGTTCCCCTACCAGTTTCTGTGTGTTACCACTTCTCCTGTCTGATTTGTGTCCATTTCTCCTTTGTTGCAGAGACAGTCCGGTTTGGCCAATATACATGGCCGAGGGGCATTGCTGCCACTTAATGACATAGATCACATTAGAGGATGTGCAGTTGTATGAACCACTGATGTTCTGGCTTAAGAGGTCCTGTCCTGCTGTCACATCGATAGATGTGTGGACAGGGTTGGCAATGGGGAGTGTTGCAGGGGTGAATGGGTCTGAGGTATGATCTGTGAATGCTGGAAATTATTTGCATCAGGTAGGATGGTTGAAATACTCCAACCACTAGGGCTGCTACCTCTTCCTATGAAGAAGTCCCCCACACCCAAGGGGCCAGTGCTGCGGGCCCTTCCCCACAGCAAACTGAGCTCTACAGCGCAGGGCTGGGCTTCTGCACAAGCACCCACCATTATTTCCTGTTTATATTTACATTACTTCTGCGGGGGCCTGATCCGAGGCCCGGGAGGCGAAAGAAGGAAATTACAGAGCAGCTGGCAGTGAGCTCAGCTCCCACAGGTAGGCGGATGCTGACTTGCAGTGTTACCGACAAGAACACCCCGTACCACAGGGACATGCACCACGGCCGACAGGGTAGGTACAAGCAATTGGCACCTACGGGTACGTGGAGAAGGACTCCCGCTCGCGCAGACAGGTGGCCGGGGAGCACAGCTCCTATGGCCAGGAGATCAGGTCTCCACGCGAATGGACAGGCTGCCAGTGAGCTCAGCTCCCTCGGGCAAGTGGACGATGAGCCCCGCTGTTACGGACAAGATGCCCAGGAACCTGCTAAAACCGGCCGGTTGCCAGCGAGCCCCCTGCCTGTAGCCATCAGCCAGCGCGATTTCCGCCAACCACCACTTCACCTCAGCACACGCCTCTGGGCCCTGACGGGCTGGACCAGTGAGCTTGGCACAGGGGGAGCCTGTGTGTATCTCTGAGCAACGGGACTCTCGGCGAAGGACTGTTCTCCCAGCTCGCACAGGCAGGGGCGGTTGAGCGCCGCTCTGGTGGGCACGGTTGCCTCAAGGCCAGTTCCGACAGGCAGGGGCCCTCGATACACGCTCCGCTGGGCAGGGGGCCGGCCAGCCTAGCTCCATGTGACCAAAGGCCCCTGACAGATTGCTTCCTTCCCCTTCCAACAGCCACCAGTTTTCCTTGCCGATCAATTCCTTCCACCAGTCAGTGAATGCGGCTCCCGCCCCAACACCGATTGTCACCTCACCCAGATTGACTGTCCATTTCTGCCTTTGGTTCCGTCAGGCTGCTAATAAGTTCAGCTCCCACAAGCAGGCAACTGATGACTCCCACCCTTGCTGACAAGCCGGCAGGGAGCTCAGAGCCCACAGGCGTCTAGACAGGAGGTACAGGGCTGAACCGGGACGGGGCTACAAGGGCAGCTGCCCAGGGCATGAAGCTGTGGGGGAAGAAAAATGGACAGGTTTGTGGGGGAGTTCTATGGTTCCCACGTTCCCCCTCCCCCAGCTTTATGCCTTCCACTTGGTACGGAGGGTTGCAAACCTTTGGAATACCGTCACCTCTTTGCAGGAGCTGACTCACCCATGCGAGCAGCTGGTGCTGCAGTCATATCCCCGGAGCAAACCCCTTCTTGCAGGGCTACTTCACTAACTCCCAGCATTCCTTGCAGCTTCCTTTTTATTACTTGCGTAGGGGCCTGATCCGAGGCCCGGGAGGCGAAAGAAGGAAGTTACAGAGCGGCTGGCAGTGAGTTTGACTCCCACAGGTAGGCGGATGCTGACTTGCAGTGTTACCGACAAGAACACCCCGTACCACAGGGACATGCACCACGGCCGACAGGGTAGGTACAAGCAATTGGCACCTACGGGTACGTGGAGAAGGACTCCCGCTCGCGCAGACAGGTGGCCGGGGAGCACAGCTCCTATGGCCAGGAGATCAGGTCTCCACGCGAATGGACAGGCTGCCAGTGAGCTCAGCTCCCTCGGGCAAGTGGACGATGAGCCCCGCTGTTACGGACAAGATGCCCAGGAACCTGCTAAAACCGGCCGGTTGCCAGCGAGCCCCCTGCCTGTAGCCATCAGCCAGCGCGATTTCCGCCAACCACCACTTCACCTCAGCACACGCCTCTGGGCCCTGACGGGCTGGACCAGTGAGCTTGGCACAGGGGGAGCCTGTGTGTATCTCTGAGCAACGGGACTCTCGGCGAAGGACTGTTCTCCCAGCTCGCACAGGCAGGGGCGGTTGAGCGCCGCTCTGGTGGGCACGGTTGCCTCAAGGCCAGTTCCGACAGGCAGGGGCCCTCGATACACGCTCCGCTGGGCAGGGGGCCGGCCAGCCTAGCTCCATGTGACCAAAGGCCCCTGACAGATTGCTTCCTTCCCCTTCCAACAGCCACCAGTTTTCCTTGCCGATCAATTCCTTCCACCAGTCAGTGAATGCGGCTCCCGCCCCAACACCGATTGTCACCTCACCCAGATTGACTGTCCATTTCTGCCTTTGGTTCCGTCAGGCTGCTAATAAGTTCAGCTCCCACAAGCAGGCAACTGATGACTCCCACCCTTGCTGACAAGCCGGCAGGGAGCTCAGAGCCCACAGGCGTCTAGACAGGAGGTACAGGGCTGAACCGGGACGGGGCTACAAGGGCAGCTGCCCAGGGCATGAAGCTGTGGGGGAAGAAAAATGGACAGGTTTGTGGGGGAGTTCTATGGTTCCCATGTTCCCCCTCCCCCAGCTTTATTCCTTCCACTTGGTACGGAGGGTTTCAAACCTTTGGAATACCGTCACCTCTTTGCAGGAGCTGACTCACCCATGCGAGCAGCTGGTGCTGCAGTCATATCCCCGGAGCAAACCCCTTCTTGCAGGGCTACTTCACTAACTCCCAGCATTCCTTGCAGCTTCCTTTTTATTACTTGCGTAGGGGCCTGATCCGAGGCCCGGGAGGCGAAAGAAGGAAGTTACAGAGCGGCTGGCAGTGAGTTTGACTCCCACAGGTAGGCGGATGCTGACTTGCAGTGTTACCGACAAGAACACCCCGTACCACAGGGACATGCACCACGGCCGACAGGGTAGGTACAAGCAATTGGCACCTACGGGTACGTGGAGAAGGACTCCCGCTCGCGCAGACAGGTGGCCGGGGAGCACAGCTCCTATGGCCAGGAGATCAGGTCTCCACGCGAATGGACAGGCTGCCAGTGAGCTCAGCTCCCTCGGGCAAGTGGACGATGAGCCCCGCTGTTACGGACAAGATGCCCAGGAACCTGCTAAAACCGGCCGGTTGCCAGCGAGCCCCCTGCCTGTAGCCATCAGCCAGCGCGATTTCCGCCAACCACCACTTCACCTCAGCACACGCCTCTGGGCCCTGACGGGCTGGACCAGTGAGCTTGGCACAGGGGGAGCCTGTGTGTATCTCTGAGCAACGGGACTCTCGGCGAAGGACTGTTCTCCCAGCTCGCACAGGCAGGGGCGGTTGAGCGCCGCTCTGGTGGGCACGGTTGCCTCAAGGCCAGTTCCGACAGGCAGGGGCCCTCGATACACGCTCCGCTGGGCAGGGGGCCGGCCAGCCTAGCTCCATGTGACCAAAGGCCCCTGACAGATTGCTTCCTTCCCCTTCCAACAGCCACCAGTTTTCCTTGCCGATCAATTCCTTCCACCAGTCAGTGAATGCGGCTCCCGCCCCAACACCGATTGTCACCTCACCCAGATTGACTGTCCATTTCTGCCTTTGGTTCCGTCAGGCTGCTAATAAGTTCAGCTCCCACAAGCAGGCAACTGATGACTCCCACCCTTGCTGACAAGCCGGCAGGGAGCTCAGAGCCCACAGGCGTCTAGACAGGAGGTACAGGGCTGAACCGGGACGGGGCTACAAGGGCAGCTGCCCAGGGCATGAAGCTGTGGGGGAAGAAAAATGGACAGGTTTGTGGGGGAGTTCTATGGTTCCCACGTTCCCCCTCCCCCAGCTTTATGCCTTCCACTTGGTACGGAGGGTTGCAAACCTTTGGAATACCGTCACCTCTTTGCAGGAGCTGACTCACCCATGCGAGCAGCTGGTGCTGCAGTCATATCCCCGGAGCAAACCCCTTCTTGCAGGGCTACTTCACTAACTCCCAGCATTCCTTGCAGCTTCCTTTTTATTACTTGCGTAGGGGCCTGATCCGAGGCCCGGGAGGCGAAAGAAGGAAGTTACAGAGCGGCTGGCAGTGAGTTTGACTCCCACAGGTAGGCGGATGCTGACTTGCAGTGTTACCGACAAGAACACCCCGTACCACAGGGACATGCACCACGGCCGACAGGGTAGGTACAAGCAATTGGCACCTACGGGTACGTGGAGAAGGACTCCCGCTCGCGCAGACAGGTGGCCGGGGAGCACAGCTCCTATGGCCAGGAGATCAGGTCTCCACGCGAATGGACAGGCTGCCAGTGAGCTCAGCTCCCTCGGGCAAGTGGACGATGAGCCCCGCTGTTACGGACAAGATGCCCAGGAACCTGCTAAAACCGGCCGGTTGCCAGCGAGCCCCCTGCCTGTAGCCATCAGCCAGCGCGATTTCCGCCAACCACCACTTCACCTCAGCACACGCCTCTGGGCCCTGACGGGCTGGACCAGTGAGCTTGGCACAGGGGGAGCCTGTGTGTATCTCTGAGCAACGGGACTCTCGGCGAAGGACTGTTCTCCCAGCTCGCACAGGCAGGGGCGGTTGAGCGCCGCTCTGGTGGGCACGGTTGCCTCAAGGCCAGTTCCGACAGGCAGGGGCCCTCGATACACGCTCCGCTGGGCAGGGGGCCGGCCAGCCTAGCTCCATGTGACCAAAGGCCCCTGACAGATTGCTTCCTTCCCCTTCCAACAGCCACCAGTTTTCCTTGCCGATCAATTCCTTCCACCAGTCAGTGAATGCGGCTCCCGCCCCAACACCGATTGTCACCTCACCCAGATTGACTGTCCATTTCTGCCTTTGGTTCCGTCAGGCTGCTAATAAGTTCAGCTCCCACAAGCAGGCAACTGATGACTCCCACCCTTGCTGACAAGCCGGCAGGGAGCTCAGAGCCCACAGGCGTCTAGACAGGAGGTACAGGGCTGAACCGGGACGGGGCTACAAGGGCAGCTGCCCAGGGCATGAAGCTGTGGGGGAAGAAAAATGGACAGGTTTGTGGGGGAGTTCTATGGTTCCCACGTTCCCCCTCCCCCAGCTTTATGCCTTCCACTTGGTACGGAGGGTTGCAAACCTTTGGAATACCGTCACCTCTTTGCAGGAGCTGACTCACCCATGCGAGCAGCTGGTGCTGCAGTCATATCCCCGGAGCATTCCCACAACCACCTCTTTTCCTTGCCGATCAATTCCTCCCACCAGTCTGCCCCCTCCCACTCCGCTGCTCCCTCAGACCGTCAGTCCTCAGCTTAGGTTGTTCCCTTCATTTTTCCTATGCGGCTCCCTCCCTGAAATGCTGCTCCTCTCCCCAGAAGTATCTCTAGCCAGGCAGACAACATTCGCGATTCACGACATGCGTGATCGAGCGATTAACGCAGTGGGCTGGGAGTCACTGCTAGAGGGTGGGTGAGTCACTTTCGGGAGTCTCTTCCCCGCCTCATGCTCCTGCTCCAACCCAGACCCCACATTCTGCGCCAAAATCTTTCAGGGTTCACCCTCTCCCACACCTGAACTCCCTTCCGGCCCCCATGCTCACGCCCAGAACCTGCATCCCACACCCTCTTCTGCACCCAAACTCTGTTCCAGACGCATAGGCTGAGAGGTAGTTGGCAGCCACGGGGGCCTAAATTGCCATTGGCTCCAGTGACAGTCACCTCAGAAAGGTGTCATCCTTCTTCAGTTCTAATTTTTCAGTGATGTCACCTGGAGCCACAACAAGAGTTGGGCGAGGCCAGGAGGGAGCCACGAGAGTAGGGCTGACATGGATCCATGGGAGCTGATGCCCCTCCTAGGAGGATGAAAGAGGAAGAGATGGACATGGAAAGAGGTCCTCAGGCCTCAGCCACTGTGGAGCCCCCAGGATTGGAGTCAGCTACTTCTACTGTCACCACGGGGAGAATCTTTCCCCCTTGTCCCCAGACGGGTGTGGAACATCGGCTATTTACTCACATGTTTTACCCTGTCGGCACAGATTTCTTCCCCGGACCGGGACCAGGGAGGAGCCGAGCTTTGAGCTGTAGAGTCGCCGGGTCCGGGCGCAGCACGTGGCCTCGGGTGCAGCGAGAGGAGATCCGGTCGTAGGGGTAGCGTGAGAGGATCGCACACTGCAGAGCGTCCTCGGTAAGGAAACCAGCTCTGTCTGGGCCCTGCCGCTGTGTGGAGGAGAACGTCTGCCTGGTGCTTCCCTAGCTCCTGTTTGGGAGGGGGATAGACGCCACGGGTGCCTAGTGTGGCGTGAGAGTTCTTCTTGGTGCGGATGAGCTTGGTTTTATCATTTTTAGAGGCAAATAGGTGCTGTGACGTAGCGGGGGAGCTGTCTGCTCTGTAACCCAGCATTCCCCTGGGCCAAGTCACATCACAGCGCAGACACATAGGCCCAGCCTGGGCAGTTAGCAAAACTCTTCCCAGGGGGAGAGAGAAAGTGGGGGAGGTGGAGACGAACACCAGCTGTCAGGGGAAGAGGTCTGTTGCTCGCTGGGAAAAATGAAGGGAACAACCTAAGCTGAGGACTGACGGTCTGAGGGGGCGATAAATCCCCTAACCTCAGGGGTCTGAGGCATCCTGTCAAAAGCGAGGTCTCCCCCCCTTCATCTGCATCTCCTGCGGGATCCTTGAAGCTTGCAACCCAGATGCTCCATGACTTACTACCGCCGTAGCGGTGGTCTGGGCTCCTGTTTCAGCAATCTCCACCTGCAGGGCTGCCGTCTGGCCCTCTTGAATGATTGATTGTAACCGGAGGTTGTGTGAGACCCCCGTCAAAGGAGTCTCCTCAGAGGGCGGGAGAGATTTCTCCGGCAGGATCACCATTAAGCGGAGCGCTCCATCCCCTCTATCCCCGGCTCTGAGAGCATTCTGTGGAATGCGGGCCTCTCCTAAGCACAAAGAGTGGCCGTCAGAGACCAGCATGGCCCCTCGACAAGTGTCACATTTTGGAGGCCGGGTGAGCCTAGTGTCCGCTGTCGAAATGGAGCAATAACCGGAGGGGTTCGCTTCAGGGAAAAACTCATTTTCACGTCTTTTTGGATTTTAGGATGAAGGAGTCAGCGCTGCCCGAAGGCTCCATCTGCTCTGAGGATGGTGAAGGACCTGAGGGAAGCTGCGTCACGCGAGTGCAAAATCAGGCGCCAACGGCACCACGAGACGGCTACTGCACATGGGCAGGGCGGCCAGGCACCGCGAGCAACATTCTGCGATCGTTGGGACGAGGAGCCACCGGCACGTTCGAGAGGAGCACCCACAGCGTGGAGCACCCACGGGGCACCGCTTGAAGGAGAAGCGAGGCACGTGGCCAGGGGCCTGAGGGAATCCGGCAACTCACACCAGCTTCCACTCCAGCAGCTCCTGGCTGGAGGTGACTGTTTTCAAGCTGCGAGACATTAGTAAAGAGGAGAAATACTGCAGCAGAACAATGAGAGAGCAAAAGAGAGAGAGAGATTTAGAATAAAAGTGTCAAAGGTGGAATCATTTTTGTTTGCTTGTTTTATAAAAAATAACAGCCTTAAAAAAAAAAATCAGCATTTTCAGTTACCCTTGTGGGTGGAATTCCTTAGAATTCTAAAGGAACCGAGAAAAACTCTTTCCAAAGCTATCAGCAGGGATAACAGGATGGATTCTGGGGTACCACTGGGAGGATCCAATCAGGGTGAAGTGCATAGAAACAGGGCTCCTGACAAGCCAAAACTGGGGCCCCTCCGCTCTAAGGACCCCAAACCAGTCACAAAGGGCACTTCTCTTTGCCACACTGGCCAGCAAGAAGCCACACAAGCGTTCCCTTCAGACACGCCAGCCCTTCCTGGGCCAGCCAGCCCCTGACACCGACGAGAGGTTAGGAAAATCCATCTCACCAACTGCACACAGGTTCTTCTGATCCCAAAGGACCAGCCACGTTCTCCAGTCAATGTATACCTCAGCTCTTACCCAAAAGAGCTCTCTGTGCCAGTCCTTTGGAATCTCAACTCTAAAGGCTTGTTAGTAAAAGAAGGGAGAGGCTGAGAGCAAAATGGTTAAAGCAACGACAGTACGTACACCGACCCCCAAGTTCCTGGTGCAGGCTTGGAGCAGAGATGGACTACATGGCAATTCTAGGATTCCTTCTCTGTAGAATCCTAGGGCTGGAAGAGACTCAGGAGGGCATCGAGTCCAACCCCCTGCCCAAACCAGGACCAGTCCCAACTCAATCATCCCAGCCAGGGCTTTGTCAAGCCGGGACTTAGAAAGTTCCCTTCAGACACGCCAGCCCTTCCTGGGACAGCCAGCCCCTGACACCGACGAGAGGTTAGGAAAATCCATCTCACCAACTGCACACAGGTTCTTCTGATCCCAAAGGACCAGCCACGTTCTCCAGTCAATGTATACCTCAGCTCTTACCCAAAAGAGCTCTCTGTGCCAGTCCTTTGGAATCTCAACTCTAAAGGCTTGTTAGTAAAAGAAGGGAGAGGCTGAGAGCAAAATGGTTAAAGCAACGACAGTACGTACACCGACCCCCAAGTTCCTGGTGCAGGCTTGGAGCAGAGATGGACTACATGGCAATTCTAGGATTCCTTCTCTGTAGAATCCTAGGGCTGGAAGAGACTCAGGAGGGCATCGAGTCCAACCCCCTGCCCAAACCAGGACCAGTCCCAACTCAATCATCCCAGCCAGGGCTTTGTCAAGCCGGGACTTAGAAAACTCTAGGGATGGAGATTCCACCAGCTCCCTAGGGAACCCATCCCAGTGCTTCACCACTCTCCTAGGGAAATCGTTTGTCCTAATATCCAACCTAGACCTCCCCCACTGTAACTTGAGCCCATTGCTCCTCGTTCTGCCATCCGTCACCACTGAGAACAGCCTCTCTCTAGCCTGTTTGGAACCCACCTTCAGGGGGAGGGGGTAAAGGCTGCGATCAAATCCCCCCCTCACTCTTCTCTTCTGCAGACTAAACAAACCCAGATCCCTCAGCCTCTCCTCATAGGTCATGTGCTATCATAGCCCCCTCATCATTTTGGTCGCCCTCCGCTGGACCCTCTCCAATGCGTCCCCATCCTTTCTGTAGTGGGGGGCCCGGAACTGGACACAATACTCCAGATGTGGCCTCACCAGTGCTGAATAAAGGGGATTCGTGCCCCCTCCCTAATGTAGACAGCCCCACTCACTGTAGTCTTTTATAAGACAGCATCACTAGTTCTTCTCATAGGCGGCTCAGAGATGGTCAATGACCTGAAATCGGGGGAGGAACACTGCACACGCTCCCCCACGGGAGGGAGGACTAGTGATTTACGGCATCCCATTATAAATCCTTTATTAACGTCTAACCCATTCCTTAACCGTCCCAATGTCTTGTCTGCCCTCCGCTTTACTGAGCGGCACAGAGATACCCCGACCTTCCCCTGAGTTGGCAGAGCTAGTTTGGGGCCCCGTAAGGTCTATGAACAGATCAAATGATTCCCTCCCATTTGAATTGCTTTGCATTTTGTGCCACCAGCTCTCATCCCTCCTCTTATCTGAGGTTCGCTTTGTACTTCAGATTGCCAGGGCCTCGCTTTCGTTTCTCTGCCCTTTGGCAGTTCTTCCCAAAGTAAAACCCTGGCATAACATTTCGCTCCCCAGGTACATTCAGAACCGAGTGTCGGGCAGCCAGCTGGAAACTGAAGTACCCTCTGTCACCACTTGCTGGCAGCATCACATTGGTTACTCTTAAGGAAGCCACTAGAAGTTTTGAACAGAGGGGAGGGGAAGGTTTAAACACATCCCCAGGCAAACCAGCCCTGAACTGCTGTGAGGGT